ATCAGCACACAAGAATACAGGCCAGTGTAACCACAATCAGTAGTGGTACACGCACCCACACAGAACTGCTGATACTGCTGCTGCTGCTGTCTGCATCACCCTTCTTGTTGTTTGTGGGTTCAGGAGGAACTGTTGTTGTTGTGGTGGTGGTGGTTTCTGTATTACTCACACCGTCTTGATTATTTGGGGACTCATTGTTGTCAGGTTTAGCATCACTTGCAGAGGTGACAGTATCAGAACCATCGGCTTCACTGCCATTCCCTGTGGCTTCTGTGTTAGGAGAAGAAGAAGCCTGTATGCCGTACTTTCACGTTGACCCTCATCTGTAGACGCACCTCTACTTCCAAGACTTTGAGCAGCAGGTTCAACTGGAGTCGTTGGAGGTTCAGAAGAAGAAGCGGCTTGGGGAGAAACACCACCAGAAGTAGCAACTTTACCAGAAGCGCCTGCAGGATTTTCAACATCAGTTCTTGCAGGATCTTCTTCACTGACACTATCTTGCGATCCCCCTTCACCTTGAGCAGAGTTTCTTGTGGTAGATTGCGGTTGAGGAACAGTACCAACACCACCAACAAGCGCAGGAGAAGGATTACAAGTACCATCAGTAGAAGCACCAGTACCACCTTTAATACAAGCGGAAGCAGTATCAGGTTGAGCAGCAAGAGTACCACCTGTACCACCAGGACCACCAGGACCACCAGGAACAGAAGGTTGTGAAGATAGTGCTGCTGTTGCTGACGGTTGAACAGCAACAGGAGTGCAAGTTTTACCATCACAAGTACAATTAGGACCTTCTTTGCAAACAGCAGCAGCATCTTCATCAGTCGGTAAACTCTCGGTCGCTGAAATGCATAATGATGCAACACTCAGCAGCAACATCAGTAAACAGAACAGACGATACAACAGCATCACAGCAAGAGATAATTTCGTTTCTTTCACGTCACTTGAAAAAAGAAAGAAAAAAAAAAAAAACCAACTCAATAAACACAAACAAAGAGTGAAACATAGCCCAACAACACCAAACGTCAGAAAAAAAACGATGAACATCTAATAATAACGAGACCAAAAAAGCAGAACTACAACCAACAAGTGAGGAAACAATAAACAAAAAAATCTGATATTATCCATTAGCCCAATTTATCCAGTAAACACAGAAATATACACCAACTATGGGTGTAAGTCTATATGTGTATTTATATACGCAATTATAAATATAAATTCATCTGTTATTATTATTATTATTATTATTTCTTTTTGCCCACTGCAAAACGCAATTCATTATCATCACAGTGCAAGCCCAGGTGCACACACAGAGAGAGTCTCCAAGAACACACACACACAATGGAGCAGCAATAATAATAATTATAGGATAAACATAGAGAGCAAAAACACA